TTTGGGTTGACTAAAGGCCAAACTAGATGTGACACAGTGGAATTAAATGATTTATGATTGGAGTTTTTTTCTGTGCTGCCTTTCTCCAAAGGTCTAAACCAGTGGAGATTAAGAGTGAACGGGAGAGAAAATTTAGACACAAAGCAAGATAATAATATCATTTGGAGGAGAAATACAGTATGCAGAACTCATTACTCTAGTTGTCTTAATGTTCCTGTTTCAAAATGGCCTGCTTTATGTTCCTAAACCAGACTTCACCAAGCTGGTGCCCTCAAGATGTGTCATGTCAAGCACTCCCATCACCCAGCTCATCCGGGTGTGGTCACTGGATATCCTGGGAGTTGTAGTCCAACACACCAGGAGAGTGGTTGATTGAGGACGTTTCCCCTGTGCCGAGGTGGGCAACTGAGGCCATCCAGATGTTTTGGCCTACAACTCCCATCTGACCTAGCAGCCTGCCTGGCTCATGGTGAGGGATTCTGGAAATTGCAGTCCCAAAACATCTGGAGGGCCACAGTTGCCCACCATTTGGAGGGCCAGCTGAAAACAGAATAGAATGGAATAAAACAGGAATAATAGACAGCCCCAGAATGTAATAGTGAGTTGTCCTTGCAGTAATGTTGCCAGGTAGTCAGACTAGCAATAAAGAACAGTCAAAATTCATGACTTGAAGGGTTGACAATAGGGAGGTACCTATTAACAGGTTTGTGCTCTACCTAAATACCAAATGGAAATTTTGTTTTAATTTAACTTAGCCACATGTTTCTTTATATATTTAACATATTTTCCACATTCATAAATTTTATGATGCAGACATTTCTGTCTTTATGAAATAATTTCTTGTTGTGTGTCTTCAAGTCATTTCCGACTTATGTCAGCACTACGGCGAATCTTTCACAGGGTTTTCTGGGGTTGAGAGTGTGGTACCTGCCCAAGATCACCCAGTGGGTTTTCTTGGCTGAACGGGGAATCGAACCTTGATCTCCAGAGTTGTAGTCCAACACTCAAACCACTGCCCCACAACCAAAAATACAGGATTTGCAGCGGATTCTGTTCAGTCTATGAAAAGGAGAAACTTTCCAACCCGCAATAGGCAACATCCCTTCTAAAAGAGACTCTGACCAGACCTATCAGAGACAAGTTTACTGCCCTGAAATGATGGCCATCCCTTACAAAAAGGAACAGCTGGCAACCCTGTCTAGTAGTTGGAGGGACTCCCCTGCTGCAACAACTACCATGGCTCAAGGCTATGGAATTCTGGAAATTGTAGTTTGTTGTTGTAGGACCAGAGCAGAAGTAAACTGGTTTGACACCACTTGAATTGTTATGGCTCAGTGCTATAGAACTCTGGGAATTGCAGTTTGTTGTGGCACAAGAGCAGAAGTAATCTGGTTTGACACCACTTGAACTGTCATGGCTCAATGCTATGGAACTCTGGGAATGGTAGTTTTGGGAGACATTTAGCCTTCTCTGTCAGACAACTCCAGTGCCACAACAAACTCTAACCCCCAGAATGCCATAGCCTTGAGCCATGGCAGTTCAAGCAGTGTCAACCCGGATTATTCCTGCAGTGCAGCTGCAGCTGCAGTGACCTCTAAGCAGTGCCCTGATAAAGCAGCGCCTTCCTCTCTGGCCCTGCATGCAGATCAAGAAAGAATCAATGAATGCAGGAGGGGAGCAGAGGATGAGGGGAGCCTGTAAGGGAGGAATCAGTCCTTTCCTAGAAGATCTGCTCTTCCATCCATCATTTCCTTTGCTTCCTCCCTTCCTAGAGCCATCGCTTAGAAGGAGAACACAAGAGACAGCGCTTGGCTAAAGAAAGCCATTGAGGCGGATTCCTCTTGCTTCCAGTTTATATAGGCAATCAAAGTTTTCCTTTTGGAGCTCTGCTGCAAGGTCACTGCAAGAGCCAGGGGAAAGGAAGGATATGTGTATGGGTGGAACTGGTTTCCTTGTGGGTTTTAGGGGGGGCAGGGGTGGATTTATTTTAGCATTCCCTTTGGAACAGGGTGACCAGATGTCCTGACTGCAAAGGAGGGCAAGGCACTGCAAAAGGTAGGACCTTCTAGAAATAAAATGGAAGACATAATCAAAGAAAAGGTCAAAAGACTATTAATTTATGCTTCTTAGGGCTGCATCTAAGGTAAAGGGTAAAGGTATTCCCTATTGACAAGGTTGTCAAGTCATGTCCAACCATAGGGAGCAGTGCTTATCTCCATTACTAAGCTGAAGAGCCAGCATTGTCAGAGACTACTCTGTGATCATGTGGTCAGCATGATTGCACAGAATGTTGTTTACCTTCACACCAAAGTGGTACCTATTTATCTACTTGCATTTGCATGCTTTCGAACTGCTAGGTTGGCAAAAGCTGGAACTAGTAATGGGAGCTCACTCCATCATGCGGCACCCAGGGCTTGAACTGCCAACCTGCCGATCTTGCAATCAACAGAGTCAGTGTCTCAACACTTGAGGTACTGTGTCCCTTCTTTATCGGCACTGCAGGGCTGGATCTACACTGCAGAAATAATTTGGTTTGACCCAACTTGGAACTGCCATGGCTCAATGCTATGGAATTCTGGGAATTCCATTTAGCCCCGTTTAAATAGTTGAAGAGATGGCATATTGAAGATAGAGCAAGCTTAGTTTCTGTTGCTCAAAAGACTAGGAGCTGGAGCAATGGATCCAAGCTATAGGAAAAGAGTTTCCAGCTAAATGTTACAAAAATTTTTGTGACAGTAAAAGCTGTTCAGCAGTATAACAGGCTGTCTCAGAGAGTGGTGGAGCCTTCTTATTTGGAGGTTTTTAAGCAGAGGCTGGATGGCCATCTGCTGGGAGTTGTTTGATTGTGTATTCCTGCATGGCAGGGGGCTAGACTGGATGGCCCTTGTGGTCTCTTCCAAATTTATGATTTTATGATTCATCCTATCCACTTTCTTTACTGTCCAGCTCTCCCATCTATAGATGGTGATG